TTGCCCAGCTGACCCCTCCACGGTCGGTCCGGGGCGTGGACGGGGCCAGCGGGCCGCGGGACGGTACGAACTCATCTCGCAGGTTCCTCTGCCCAGGCGCGGAGGCCGCGTCCCTGCGAGGGGCTCAGCCCGGGACCCTCCGTCTGCGCGGCGCGAGGTCCCTCCGGGGTGGGCGCGGGCGGGCGCGGCAGGGAGACCCTCACGCTTCGGTTCTCTCCCCCGCAGCCTGCAGGAAGCAGCGCGGGATGGACAGCAGGATCCCGGCGGCCGCATGTTGGGTAAGTAGGGGCCGCGCCTTAGAGCCGACGGCGCTGGGCGTGGACGGTCATCCCTGCACGGTCACCTCCGGGGCCCGAGCTCGCGGGCTGCCCCCGGCCCGGCCCGGGGTCTCCAGAGACGACGTCTTACAGCATTTTGTGTCCAGGGCCCTCGCCTTCCGCAGCTACACTTGATTGCGAGCTACGGACCCCGAACTCCGAGGGAAAGGAGGGTCCTTGCAGAAACGACCCTCTATCATTTCAGGTTTTTCACACACAAGTAATGAATTGTTTTTATATCCAGACCTTTAGGGCCTCCTTAGGGAAGTTACCCTCTTCTTTGTTCATTTGTTTGTTCAAATGCTTATTTTCTGTCGTGTTCTGTGCTGGACCTTGGGGCTGGCTGTGCAGAGATAAATTATGTGCAGTTCTTGCTTTAGAGGAGCTGTGGTCTGGCAGGTTCTCTCAGTCTCCCTGCAAAATATACCCTGGACGTGTGTTGTTGTTTTATTTTATTGTTTACAGCATTACAGATGTCTCCATTTTCTCCCCTTCCCTCCACCCTGAATATGTTTTTATCAAAGACTTGAAACACCCATTTCATTTGCGTGTATAGATGTGTGTTTCCCTCTACGGGGCTGAAAGCTTCCTGAGGGTAGAAGTGGATTTTATTCATCTTGAAATGTTTAGGACCCAAAGAGCATCTGGCACGTGGAAGCTCATGATTTTTTCTTTTTTCTTTTTACAACTCTCTCAAAATGAATGCTGGCCTGGAGGAGGCGATCTGTGGAGGAACATTCTTTCTGCCCCAGTACCTCTGCATTTTTTCGACATCACCTAGTGTAACTGCGTCCGATTGAATGGGGTGTGTATTATTACAGGGATTATTGTCATTCAAGGATATATCTATGGACTTCACCTTGGAAGAATGGCAGTTACTGGATTCTGCGCAGAAGTACCTGTACAGGGATGTGATACTGGAAAACTATCGCAACCTGGTGTCTGTGGGTAGGTACAACTTCTCTGTTAACTCAGACTGTGGGTCATAAGTTGCTTTCCCTTTTCTTTTGGTGATCTACTCTGGGGTCTCTGAAGTACTTAATGATTATGGGCTTGAACTTTAGAGGTCAAGTGCTCTCACACCTGTTTGGGTGTCACCTCCTAATTGTAATCTTTCCCCAAGTACAAATGAGCAGTTTCACGTTGTAGCTCCTGATCCCTCAGTCCCCAGCAGTTTGGCCCACATCCTTTGATTTTCCATTAACAGGGTATCACGGTACCAAACCTGATTTAATCTTCAAGTTGGAGCAAGGAGAAGAGCCATGGATAATAAATGCCAGACTTTCTCGTCAGAGCTGTCCAGGTGGGTGAGTGGGGAACCAGGAAGACAGGAGGCGTGGGAGTACACAGGCAGCACTCAGACAGCATTGCGTGTAGAAATTTTTGCCTGGAGTCCTTGAACCACAGAGGGGAGGAGGTTGTGGGAGCCGTTGAACTCCTCAGGTAAGGAAATGGATGTCGTTCTGCCCATGTTTGGGCTCTCCTGCCTCTGAGAGGCTGTGCACTCTGCACAAATGTTGTTTTCTGGGTTAGTTTCCTTACTTCTGGCACCTTCTATCTCTGCCTTCCTTTCCATGGTCATGGCCTGCAGCAGGCTTCCAGGCCTCTCCTTGGGGTCAATCATGCCTCCACTCCCCTGACATCTCTTTTTCTCCTTTCCCATCAGGGTTGAATCCCTTAGACATTACCTGCAGTCTTTTACTTCCCTCTCTCGCCTTGACTGTCTTGGAGATTTTATTGTCCCCTTCTCTCTTCTCACTGGTCACTTTGAAGTTATAATTGTTCCTGTCTTGGGCTCTTTTTTTCCCCTTTTTCCTTTTTTTTAATCCTCACCTGAGGACATGCTTAGAGGGAGGAAGGGAAAGAGAGAGAGAAACATCGGTTGGTTGCCTTCCCTAAGTGCCCTCACCAGAAATTGAACTCGCAGCCTTTCTGTGCTCAGGACAGTGCTTAACTAACTGAGCCACTCTGGCCAGCGGGGCACTTTCTAACAATTCTGAAACCTAGCCTGGTCTCCCCTGTATTATTGATTTTATCACCTTACATTTCCATGGCCCCTTTTCCCTTTTGAGTTGTCCAAAAGGGTTTATTTCCCAAATTTGGCTGTTTGCTCCTATGTTATAACTATTGAAAGGCTCTTCCATTCTGAAAATTTAAGTTTTTCCCCTTAGTGTTGTAACATCGGAATTGACGTTTCACCAACTCTTCTTCTGCAGCTTAGTCCCAGGTCATATACACTTGCAGGAGAGCTCCCCTGTGCTTTCCACCCTTTATTCCTAGTTGGAAGTAGGGTCGTTTCTTCTGAAATCACTACTCTCCCTCAGTTTTCCTGTTGTTATGATACCTGTCCTTGCACTTCCAGTCTTGTATCCTGGCTCTGGAGCTCCCCTTGGGACTCCTGTCTCCTTTGCTAATCTCACTACTTCTTTCATTTCTGTTGGTATTTAATCCTTTGAAATATCTTCATAATTCCTGTCTCCTTGATTTTCACCCAGACTAGATCAGTATTCTCTCATACTTGGATAATTCATGTTAGCTGTATTTGAGAACTCAAATCTCCTTAGCTGTTGCTGCTGGAGACATCCTATCACTAGTCTGAGAATGTAAACAAATATCTTATACCACTGGTTCAACCAAAGTAATCAGTAAGGATTTATAGTTTCAAATGGCAAATTGTCTGCCATTGGATGGGGAAGGAACCTCAACACTGTTATAGAAGCCATTCTTTCCAGAAGGGGAGGAGAGGAGACAATATTCATCCCTGGTCCACTGCTCACCTCATTTATTTTAGAAAAAGATGAGGGCAGACTTTTTGGTGTGAGTGGTATAACTCCATTATTAGTCAGTTTCACAGTTCCTGGCACTTCACTCCAAGAGGGTCTTCCTTCCTGCTGTCCTTGGCCACAGATGAAATAAGGTTTGGGGAGATGCACTTTCTGGAGGTTACTTATAGTTTCATTAGCCCACTTCTGTTGGTGCAAGATTTGGGGCATTTAGGGTTGAAGACTCATAGGCTGTTATCAGACCAGGCTTAGGGTTCCCTTCAAAACTTAACAGGCTTCCAGTTGATTTTCTTTTATTCTGACTAATTCTGTTAAGCCGGTAACAGCATCCTGAAGTTGTGTAGACATAGTCTTTCAGCCTGAGAAATCCTCTCTCCTAGCCACTGGTCTCATGTTCTCACCCCTCAACCTTGAGTTCAGTGACCCCACTTTCAGGCATAGACTGTAACCTGAATTGTTCCACCACAGTTGAGAAGATGTTTAGCAAGAAGGTTTGAGGGTGGGAAGCTGCTGAAGATCCACCTCAGTAATCTTGTGGTGAGATGAGCAGCTGTCCAGAGCTGGACCTGCTGCTGTTCCCTTTAACCTCTGTCTGCTCATCAATCACTCTCGTTGCCGTGTTACTGTTGGGGCCTCACAGAAGGACTTTCCTGTTATCTCTGTATGTTCTGTTCAACCTAAATGTCATCTGCTCCAGGGATGTTCCGGCACATATTCCCTAGGAGAGCATGCCATCGAATACATTTCATATGCTGTTGACTCCTACATTTTACTGATCACTTAGGTCTGATTGCCTGTTTGCTCTCTTCACTGTAATATTTAACTGAGATCTCTAATGTAATAAGATCCAGAGCAGTCTATTTTCCCTCCAAACATGGCTCTCTCCCCGTGTTTTCCATTTCAAAGAGCAGGACCCCCTATTTCTCAAGTCTAAAATCTAGAAGTTATTAAAATGTCCCTTTTAAAAGCCATTTTTGATGACTGCTAATTTGCTACCATTTCCATAATGGGGCTTGGTTTAGTTTGATTCGGTTCTCTTTGCCCCATGCTTAGGTCCCTGGTGCCCATGCACGTGGCCAATATTTCTTTGAACCAGTGTCAGAAGCCTGTTACCAAGAGGATTATATGGAAGTTCTGAAAATATGCAAGTTCTAAAGCTCTTTCATTCCATATCAAGTTCATGTTATAATTAAAAAATATTTTTTTTCTAGAAGGTCAGAAAGAATGGTACCAGAAGAATCAAGATGAACTTGAAAGGGTTGAGAGAAACTATGCTTGTAATTCATTTGGAAAACTTCATCTGAGCAAAACTCACGTTTCTTCAAGACAAAGAGTCCATAAGTATAATACACATGGAAAAAGTTTGACACAAAACTCAGGTTTAACCAGAAGCTATCTAAAAAAAAATCCTGATAAGTTTCATGGATATGAACAATCGTATTTTCTTAAGCATCAAAGAGCTCACAGTATAGAAAAAAACTGTGTATGTGGTGAATGTGGGAAAGCTTTTCGTTGCAAATCACAGCTCATTGTACATCTCAGAATTCATACAGGAGAGAGACCTTATGAATGCACTAAGTGTGAAAGAGCCTTCAGTGCCAAGTCAAACCTTAATGCTCATCAGAGAGTTCATACCGGAGAAAAACCATACTCATGTAGTGAATGTGGAAAAGTCTTCTCTTTCAGGTCACAGCTCATTGTCCATCAGGAAATTCACACAGGAGGGAAACCTTATGGTTGCAATGAATGTGGGAAAGCCTACAGCTGGAAGTCACAGCTTATTTTACACCAGAGAAGTCACACAGGAGTGAAACCCTATGAATGTAGTGAATGTGGAAAAGCCTTTAGTTTGAAGTCACCATTTGTTGTACACCAGAGAACTCACACAGGAGTGAAACCCCATAAATGCAACGAGTGTGGGAAAGCCTTTAGAAGCAAGTCATACCTTCTCGTTCATGTCAGAATGCATACAGGAGAGAAACCCTATCAATGCAGTGACTGTGGGAAAGCCTTCAATATGAAGACACAGCTCATTGTACATCAGGGAATTCACACAGGAAATAATCCTTATCAATGCAGTGAGTGTGGGAAGGCATTTGGGAGGAAGGAACAGCTCACTGCACATCTGAGAGCTCATGCAGGAGAGAAACCCTATGGATGCAGTGAATGTGGGAAGGCTTTCAGCAGCAAATCATACCTTGTCATACACAGAAGAACACACACAGGAGAGAGGCCCTATGAATGTGGTTTCTGTGAGAGAGCGTTTTGTGGGAAGTCACAGCTAATTATACATCAGAGAACTCACTCAACAGAGAAGCCCTATGAATGCAGTGAATGTGAGAAGGCCTATCCTAGGAAGGCATCACTCCAGATACACCAGAAAACTCATTCAGGAGAGAAACCTTTTAAATGTAATGAGTGTGGGAAAGCCTTCACTCAGAAGTCATCTCTCAGTGAACACCAAAGAGTTCATACAGGAGAGAAACCATGGAAATGTTCTGAATGTGGGAAATCCTTCTGTTGGAATTCAGGGCTCCGTATACACCGAAAAACTCACAAGTGAAATTGGAGTGAAGTAGATTTTATAAGCATTCTAATAAAACTTGATCCTTAAGAGATTTCAGATGAGAATACAGACAGAATATATAAGCAGGAAGTCCAAAAAATACACTCATATCAAATAACTCATATAGGAGAGAAACCAATTGTATTTGGGATGAATGTGCAAAAGCTTTTAGAAATAAGTCTTTTACAAACTTTATAGATGAGAATAATTGAAGGAATTTAGCAGTAACTATATCATATATACTGGCATCATTATGAAGATTTGATTTGGAGAATTCATAATGGGAACACTTTTTAAATTTAATCAATTAGGAAAGTATTTTGCCATAGAAAATGTGTTACATGGAGAGTCACATTCCAGGTTTGATGCTATATTTTAGAGTGAAGAAAATAATTATAGATGGTAGACTTTTTCATGGTGAACTATAAAAGTTTTTATTTTAATATGTAAATAAAATGTCAGGAAAATGGGACATTCTGCAGGTTAAAGGATATTTAGGGTGACTTTCCTGAACAGCACTGAATAGTGTATTTAAAATGTTTTAATTGATTTTTAGAGAGGAACTGAGAGAGACACTAATATGAGAGCCCTGGGCTCAAGCCCTCAACCTGGGCATGTGCCCTGACCAGGAATCAAACTGCAGCCTTTCGGTGCACAAGATGACGCCCAAACAACTGAGCCACACCGGCCAGGGCCAGAAAAACATTTTTAAAAATCTTGGTATTTTATTTTTTAATGTAACGTATACATATATTTAATAGTTTGTGGAGTAACATCCACCAGTATTCTCCATATTAAATACTAAGTATCAGTATTGTCTATTTTTTTCTTAGCAATATAGCTAATACAAACGTGACTTTTAATAAATGGAAGGATATGGTTCTCCAAATGAGTTCACTTATTCAGGAGTCTACATAAGTGGGTCTGGCAGTTATTACAGGGCCGATCAAGAAAACTCGTAATGAACATCGAATATATTGTAGCAGTTCATTGTCCATTTCCATTGATTGATAAGAACACCATAGTTTTCTCTGGAGACGTACCTCTCTGTAGTGTGCATCCTTGTGGTCGTGTCTTTCAGGTCGTGTCCTTTCCACTAGCTACAGGTGGGCATTATGCCCATTGTTGGGTGGTGGTAGCCTCTTTTCCAGGATTTTGTGTTTAATTCAATTTGAAATGAACCAGAAGGGAAATGTGGGAACTCATATGTTCTTGTCCCAGATTTTATTGAGGTAATCAACCCCTTCCTGCTGTATTGATTTCCTAGAATAACTTTGGATACTGTCCCTTTTTGAACCTGGATTTCTGGCTTTATGGGTGCTTCCTCATATCTTTTTAAAAAAAATGTTTTTTTCTAAAAGAGAATTAATTACTCTTGTAACTGCAGGGCTTTAAATGATAAATTGTTGCTCTGGAGCAGTGTGTAGGTATCAAAATAGAGAAATGTGGGGTATGTGGTTTAGGTTTTTTCCTGAAATGAAGATAATCTTTCAGATTCTTGATTTTATTCCAAGATGGAAACTTTAGCCCATAGTATGAAATGGTGTTATTGTTTGTGTACACCAAAAAACTTGTGGCCCCTGATAAGATTCTGAGAACTCTGAGGAACTATTGCCATAAAAGAATTTTATATTTATGAGGCAATCTGGACAGGAGATGAGACGGTTACCTCTGGTCACATCAGCTCTTAAATTCAACACTGACAGACTTGAAGTCCTGAAATCTCACTTCAAGGCAGAGTATTAACTCGGCAACTCTCTGTGACTGCTGAAATAATTGCTTTCTCATAGCTGTAGGGCTGAGATGGTAGAAGTCAAATATATATTTGGCTTGCTGAATTTAAAAAGTCATCCATCTCAAATGCTCACTAATCCCTTATGTAAACATGCATTGGTCTAGAAAAAGTCTCCTGATAATTCGAGTAGAGATATCTGAGAGGACTCAGAGAACAGCCTAGCAAGCTGATACTTTGCGCTGTACTCTTTGCTCAAAGACATAGACTACGTGTTGGCAAACTACAGCCCACAGGCCAGCTGCAGCTTGCTGCTAATAGAAAGATGCAAGAGGACAGATAAATTGAAGAGTATTAGATCTTAAAGATTTGGAAGACTCAGCTCATTCATATTGCTAGAAATGAGAAAGCATGCTGTGGAGAGAGCACCTGAGGCCGGACCACCATCTTGGTCCCAGAAGATGAAGCTCTTTAAATTCCAGAGAGCTGCTCTACCATGCAGAGAAGAGGGGGCAGGGCCGCCACCCCAGTGGGCTCAGTGGACAGAGCATTTAGCCAAAGAGCCCTAGGAAATCTCTTCAGCTAAATATTCCAGTTCACTATAAGTTCTGCTTTGACAAAATATTTTGAAGGTACACATTCAGTTCATAGCACAATAGCCAATATGAAAATATACTGGGGAGAACAACTTACCTTCATAATATCAATAGGCATGATAAACTACTTGGGAATACATTTTATACAATGTTGGACTTAAAATTATATCCAGAAATAAATCCTTAAAAACTCATATAAACAGAATTTATGAATAAAATGTTAAAATGGAATTAAAGTTCACAGAAGAACTGAAAAGAAAATTAACATATATTGGAGTAGAGTCAATATAATAAAAATATTTTGCATAAAATATAGTACAATTCCAATAAAAATATTTTTCTTGAAATGTGACAGACACATTTACACGAAAGTTTACAGGTCTCACAGTATCCAACCCAATAATTAACAAGCACAATTATTACAGGAATTTTCCCTTCTAGATACAAGAGATTTTATTATGTCGCATTAATAAAACAATATGGTATTTATATATTGATAGACTAATAGGTCAATGCAACAGAAAAGATATTCCATAAAGGGGCCCTTGAACATACAGGAATTTCAGATACAAAATAGGTTAATTTGCAAATATTGAAGAAAGAATGGGGTATGTGATGCTTGGTGTTACGGCTGAATTGTATCTCCTCTCTAGATTCGTATGTTCAAGTCCTAACCCCCAGCAGAGTCAGGATGTGACTATTTGGAGACAGGGACTTTAAAGAGGTAATTAAGGTAAAATAAGGTTATCTGGATGGCTGCAACCCAAAACGAGTGGTGTCCTTAGAAGAGATTAGGTCATATGCTCAGAAAGATGACACCTTATCTCAGACTTCCAGTCTCCAAAATTGTGACAAAATTTTCTGTTGTTTACCTCACCCAGTCTGTTATTTTGTTATGGCAGCCTTAGCAAACGAATACACTTGGGATTAGGAAATTGGCTATCCAGGTGGAAACAAAATGAAATTAGATCAATATCTCACACACGAATATACCCAGATAGATGAAAATGTACATGTCAGAGCTAAATGCCTAAACTATTAGAAGATAATCTGAGGAAATATGATACCAGGATGGAGAAAGATTTCTTAAGACACACATGAAAACCATACAGGAAAAGCTAGATAAAATTTATAATGTCAAAACTAAAACTAGCCCTAGCCAGTTTGTCTCAGTGGTTAGAGTGTCCGCCGGGGGACTGAAGGGTCCCGGGTTCGGTCCCAGCCAAGGTTGTGGGCCTGATCCCGGCCCTTGTCGGGGCACTGTGCCAATGTGTCTGTCTCACTGTCTGTCCCCCTTCCACTCTCTGAAAAGCAATGGGAAAAATATCTTTGGGTCAGGATTAAAAAAAAACCACAACCAAACAAACTAAAACTAAGAGGCCAACAAATGTATAAACGAAGTTCAAAGACAAGGGATAGAAAAAATTAAAACATATACTGCATATTGAGGATTAGTAAACAATATACATCCAAATTCATGAATTGAGTAGAAAAAAATAGCCCAATAGAAAAACAGGCAAATGAGAATTGACAATACATGAAATAAACCAGAAATGGTGTAGAAATGTGTGTACCTCAGCAGCCATCATGGGAACACATTATCCATATGTTCTGTATTTCAACTTTCATCCAATTTCAAACATCTTGATCTTGGAGATCCATATCTTGTTCCTGACTTTTAATGTTCCACCATTAAGCAGTATACGGGCTTTATAAAGTGTATATTTTTACCGTGCTAAGGTAGCAAAGTTTTATAATTTATTTTTGGAAAACCTGGAATGCAGGTCTAAATTTTCTTTTCATCTTGAGGAGATTATATTTTTCCTTTGACTTATTGATAAGGTAATAATGGACAGCTTAATCATCTTTGTATGTCTAGAATAGAATCCACTTGGTTATAGCATTTTTAAAAATATATATATCTTTATTGATTTCAGAGACAGGAAAGGAGAGGGAGAGAGAGAAACATCAGTGATGAGAGTCACTGAGCGGCTGCCTGGAGCCCGCAGCCCGGGGCTGTGCCCTGACCCGAATCCAACCCATCGCCTGGGTCCTAGGTCCACGCTCAGCCGCTGAGCCACGCCAGCATTTTTTTTGTGTGTGTAAGGTATTGCCAGCTTCTCTTTGTTAAGAATATCTCAGTGTTCTTGCATGAATAGTCATAATTAAGTTTTGTCTAAGCTTCCTTTTCAAGTCATAACATTTGTTGGTTTTTGTGTCCATTTAATAAAATTTAAAAGTTCCTTCTAATTCCTCTGCAACTATTTAAATGTAATAATTCTCTGCTGGTTGAAAGAATTCACCAGAAACTCAATGACTGATGCTTTTCCTCCTCCCCCTCCCCCCCGTATTTTTATTTATTTTGAAACGTACTGATTTGGAGGGAGGGAGGGAGAAATACTGATCACTGTCCTGTGGCTGGACTCGTCCATTGAATCCTCGAACCCACAACCCTATCACATGGGACGACGCCCTAACCAACTGAGCTGCCCGCCCAGGGCTCCATGACTGATGCTTTTTGACAGAGAATCTCTGGAATCGTCTTCATTTTTATCCATCATTAGGTTTTCTCATTTCTTGGGTCAAATTTGATACATATGTGTCATAAAAATTTTTCAAATTTATTAGCACTGAGAGGATTCTCATTCAATTTACTTTGTGTCTGTGATTATTTCTGCTTTTCCCTCCCACCCTTTTCTCTCTTCATGAGATCAGTTACTAACACATTTGTAACTTCCCCCGCAGCTCAGGAATTACGGATGAGCTTTACCTTTTCCCGACGATTAACGCCTATCTGCTTCCCACAAATGCATTAACTTCTTTTTTGTTTACAACTGAATTTTTAAGCCAACTCTTTTTCTTCCAGTCTACTTCTGGGTTTGGATTCCTAAGCTTTTAAAAGCCTCGCATTTACGTCTCTCCCCGAAGCGAGGGCAGATCGCCACAGCGCCCGCGGCGGCCCCCGCGTCTCCAGGCAACCAGCGCTGCTGGGCCGCGGGGCCGCCGGGGCCGCGGCGTCTTCTGGGAAATGTAGTCCGAAGGCGCCTTCCTCTCGCGCACGAGCACGCGCACTCGCACGGTGACGGACGCTTGCGGGTAGAGCCCCTTTTCTTTGTCCTTCGCTGCCCCATGAGAGGCGAGTGCGCGCGGACACCCACGCTG